TCACTGCTAATAAATTTGGTGTTCAAAAGTCACTTTTTTGGTGATCAAAAAAAAATTGATACCCTTTTCTTTCTTTTTAATATCTAGATAGTTTTTGACTCCTTTCGACCAGCACGAGTAAGAGTAGTTAGTATTTAGTGCTACTATTAACCTCATCTACAAAATGATTTTCTTGTCAGTCTAGTACAGAATAAAATTCGGCTCTGTTTGCAATATTACAAACAACAGGATATAGTAATTCTAGGAAAATTGGAGTCATGCTTTATACTTCTACGTATTACAGATACACGAAATATACTGCAAAACCGTTAGGACATTTCTTTTTATTTTTTAGTATATTTGTGTTTTCAATTATTATGGTTGCTAACACAATAGAGTACTCAAGTTTCAAGCTCGAAAATAATGACAATAATTTCGAGAGATGTAAAATTCGCAGTTTTCGAACTTGATTAGATCATTAAGAGCCCCTCCCCCTCAGAAATTATCTCCGACACCGTACATCCGATCTTGACGAAACTTTCCATAAATGTTTGATTTAATGAGTTATGCGAATGAACAAATTTTTTTGTCTCCAAGTCTTACCGTTCAAGAGTTTTCCAATCTTTACGTGGAAATGATGTAAAATAAAAACTAAAACTCACTAAGACTTCATATTTTCAGAACTAATTGGAAACTCAATGGAGCACTTTTTCATTTTTGTTTCAAGTTTCTAACTATTGCCGTTTATCAGTTTTTCAGAAAACTCGGTTTTTCATTGTGTCACATTACGACACCCCTTAAATTTCATCCGATCGAGTTCAAAATTTTACCAGAGGTACTTAAGGTCATAGCGCAGCGGTATTATTTGGAATTTTATTTTAGTCCTTTCTTTACCGAGTTATACGGTTTCTAAAGTTTAAAAACTTTGTGTTTTGAAAGATTTTTGGTATTTTTGCTATAACTCCGTAAAGCAAGGTCTAAAATAAAATTCTAAAATTCTACCTTTGTGCTATGACCTTGAGTACCTCAAGTAAAATTTTTAACTCCATCGGATGAAATTTAAGGGGTGTCATAATGTGACACAATGAAAAACCGAGTTTTCTGGAAAGCTGATGAACGGCAATAGCTAGAAACTTGAAACAGAAATGAAAAGTTGCTCGATCCAGTTTCCAATCAGTTCTGAAAATATGAAGTCTAGTGAGTTTTAGTTTTTATTTCACAATATTTCTACGGAAAGCCCAAAATGAGAGGGGTACCCTTACCACTATTATTAGCCAAAAAACAAATTTCTATTTGTATTTCTTCGAGGACTATCCATCCCATTGAACACATTCTATCATTAATCACAAATGTAAAAAAATGAACACTAGGAAATCACTTCGACGTCGATAAAATCAAACAATTCTTCTCGCTACTGTCTCCTGTCCATTTCTTGAACTTCGTCCATTATTGTTAATCACCTTAAACACCGATAACAATGTTTCGGTGTCCATTATTAACTGAAAAGCTAAAGTCATAATTCTGAAAGGTACGTGCCGCACATGCAGCATAGTATATAATAGAAGAAAGATTTTTCTCGGCCACATGTGCCTGAATCCCCGTCTATGTTTGTCATGCTACTCTTCCCTGAGTTGGTGCAGGGAGTTAGAACAGAAAAAAGTTACAACTCCGGTGTAACAATGACACTTCTAATGTATCAGATTTATTATTGCGTAAATGCACACATTCAAATTTAAACTCATACTTTTCTGTGTACTGTCCCGAATATACACAGACTATTAAAGCTTGTTCGTCGGATAAATAAATGTATTTTTTTCTCTTTTTGAAATCTTTGTTTTTTTGCCCTTTCCTCTAGACAATTTTTACAGCAAAAAAACCAATTTGTAAGATGCAAACAGAGAGAGACTTTTTCTAGGTGAGGGTGAGAACTGGAAAGAAGAAAAATTGTCTAGAGGAAACAACAAAAAATAGACAAGAAACAGAAAAAAATACATTTATTTATCTAATGAACAAACGTTAATAATATGCGTATGCTCGGGACTGTACACGTTAAAAAAAGATGTGAGTTTAAATAAAGCCCATAAATCAATTTAAAAATAGATTTTTTGCTTTGTACTCACAGTTAAAATGATTCAGGTATGACATGTTTAGAAGTTTTTATTTCTCAGAGCTATATTCTAAACACAATGCTACTGAATCTATTTTTTCAACAGAGCATTATTTTAAGAAAAATAGAAAATTTTCTTTATTTTTTTATTAGGCAAAGGCGTGTCATATTTTACTGATACCAATCAACACAAGTCACGAAAATGTTGAAAATACTAGAACTAAACTTCAAATTCATTGTAAGTATGAATGTTAAGATGTCTAATAATTGAGATCTAATATTCGTTTCGTTGTAGGTAAACAGTACAGTAAACTCTGTGTCACAGTTCGAACACTAAATGAATACATTTATAACTATAATATGGAAACTAACAGTTCCGAAATATTTTTTCCATTTACTCACCATATTTCTAAGTATGATCGTGAATTATTTCGTCAATTGGTATGCAAGTTAGCACCAATTCGATTTTATTTGATTGGTAATGACTTACGTTTTACATTAACAGATAGAACAGAATGGGGCAAAATATTTCGTTCTGGCGAAAAGAGTAAAGGCTCTGACGTATGGAAATATCTGATCAATGAACCAATTCATGACACAACTAAGGAATATAAAGATCTTTCTCTTGGCCTTGAACGGTTGATCAAAGATACACTGCCAATTCAATTAAATGAAATTCTGACAAATGATTTGCATAATGAATTTTGTCCATTGATTGAGAGGGTACATTCGACCTTAGATGATCGTTCAAACACAGTCACGAGACAACTAATCGAATGGTCCACAGCACATGTGCAACTTAGAATAGAAATAGGGGTATTTCATCATTACACATATAAGTGTAGAGTAATGTGTTTACACTGGGGTTCCCGCTCTTCGTCAATAAGGCTTTCGTTAATTATTGGCGAATGTCCGGGTGGTGTATTGGCAAAAGTCAGGTAAACTTTTGCCAATTGGCGAAGGTTCTGTGGACTCTCGCCAATATTGGCGAACTTTCATAGGAACTTCACCTATACTGGCTAGTAAAGGTATCGCTTTATTGTTCTTTACCAAGTGATGAGTAATAAAACGTATTCGTTATTACCTGGAAACAAGTAATAAATCTTATTACTTTATTACTTATTACTTTTTCCAACTAATAATCTTTTATTACATTACTTATTACTAATAAGAAGAAAAGTAATAAAAAGTAAGTAAAATGATGAAAAATTATTATATAAAGAAGTAATAAGTAATAAAACAACAAGATTTATTACCTTTTTACCGGTAATAAGCAACAAACGTTTATTACTTTTACCGGATAACGCAATAATTACTAAAACTACTAGTAAAAGTAGCATCCCTATTGGCTAGAGTCCTCTTGGCTTTCGCCAATTGCTAAGAATTTGGTAACTGATAGGACTGGTACCAGTTGGGCTTGTTACCAGTTAGGCCTGGTACCAATCCTCCCGATCTTCAGTCAAGATTGGTATCAGTCGGACTTGTTACCAGTTGGGCTTGGGTTTCAAAAAATATACGAAATGCGAGACTTAGTTTTATATAGATACGTCACATATAAAATCTTTCAGGACAAATACAGCAGTCAGCAAAAGAGGTCGCAATTGTGAAAAAGTACAGGACTAATGGCGGATATATGTATATATTATTACATGTCATTATTCATAACGTTTAAACTTAATACTGGGATTTCTTATAAAACACTAAATCGTTCTTTAAGACTTGAAAGTGACATAAAAGTTCAACGCTTCGGCGATTATTTAACTTAGCATAGTTTCGAAATCCACAAAGGCAAATTAGTACTAGCTGGCGATACCGCAAAATTAGACTGTAAAACGATGAGTCATCTGGTTAACAACACCAACTACTATCTATGTGAAAATATAGTGTACTGCGATAAATCGCTAATAACTTTTCAATTAAACGTGATAGCGGCATTCCGTTTTCAGATTCAGAAACTAGATAGAATTTGCTACAAAACCATGTAGTCAGCAGATTCTTGGAAAGGTTTTCCTTGGAAAACCTGACTACGCAAAGTCAGAAAAACCCAATTTTTTTTCTTTTTCCTACTAGACTAGTACTGTCGCATGCTCTGATTCCAAATTTGAAAGAGTTGTTTGTCTGTCGTCTTTTGTTTCGGAAATTCAGGCGTTTCCGAGGACACATCTCCTCCTATGAGGAGATTTTCACGCTAGAGCAATAAACAAAATATGAAATGTAGAGCTATTTTACATGCTGATCACCGAGGCAGTGTTTATTTTGCTCCAAAGAATTATCTTTGAGAAATTTTGCCTAATATTTTGGCTTCTTGGATCAAGCGCATTTCTTCTGCATTTTCCTTAGCGTAAAAGTGAGTTCTTCCTATCTGTGGTTGAGCGGACGAATATTTATATTTCGCTCTTTTGTAACACCTAACAAGCTGTTTATTGGCAGCAGAGAACAACACTTTCATATTTTTACTTACTTTTACGCTAAGGAAAAGAAGAAGAAATGGGTTTGACTCAAAAAGCCAAAACATTTGGCAAAATTTCTCAAAGATAATAAGCAAAATAAACACTGCCACGGTGATCAGCATGTAAAGTAGCTCTACATTTCATATTTTGTTTATTGCTCTAGCGTGAAAATCTCCTCATAGGAGAAGATGTGTCCTCGGAAACGCCTGAATCTCCGAAACAAAAGACGACAGACAAACAACTCTTTCAAATTTGGAATCAGAGCATGCGACAGTAC